AAACCAACATCAGTCAATGAAATTGAAGATGTAATTACAAACATACCAACAAAGAAAAGCCCAGGTCCCAAAGGACTCACTGCTGAATTCTACAAGAAATTTAGAGAAGACCTAATGCCCCTACTTCTCAAACTCTTTATTGAAACTGAAAGGGTAGCAATACTCCAAAATTCATTTCTGGAAGCAAGCATTACCTATACCAAAACCAGAGAAGGATCCAACCAAAAAAGAGAACTACTGGCCAATCTCCCTAATGAACATAGATGCAAAAATCCTCAGTAAGATATTGCCAAATAGAATGCAACAAATAATTAAGAAGCTTATACACCATGACCAAATAGGATTAATCCCCATTCAGGGATGGTCCAACGCATGCAAATCAATAAATGTAATATACCATATTAACAGAGCTAAGGACAAAAATCACATGATCATCTCGATAGATGAAGAAAGAGTCTGACAAAGTCCAACATGCATTCATGATAAAAACTCTACAGAAATATGGAATACATGGTCTTTATCTCAGTGTGATAAAAGCCATCTATGATAAACCAACAACCAACATCATACTACATGGACAAAACATGAAAGCTTTCACTCTAAAATCAGAAACAAGACAAGGATGTCCACTATCATCACACTTATTCAATATAGTTCTAGAAACTTTAGCCAGAGCAATTAGACAATAGAAAGAAATAAAAGGAATAAGGATAGGAAAGGAAGAAGTTAAATTATCATTTTGCAGATGATATGATACTCTCTGTAGAATACCCCCAAAACCACCAAAAGACTTCTAGATTTAATAAGCAAATTTATAGCATAGCTGGATACAAAATAATACTCAAAAATTAATAGACTTCCTGTATAAAAATGACAAACTTACTGAGAGAGAAATTAGGGAAACAACACCTTTCACAATAGCATCCAAAAAATGAAATACCTAGAAATCAATCAATGAAGGAAGTAAAAGACCTCTACATTGAAAACTACAATATTCTGAAAAAGGAGATTGAGGAAGATATCAGAAAATGGAAAGATATCCCTTGTTCTTGGCTCAGAAGAGCCCATGTAGAGAAAATGGCCATACTTCCAAAATTGTTATACAATTTTAATGCAATCCCAATCAAAATTCCAACAGCATACCTCACAGAATCAGAGAAAATAATCCTAAAATTCATTTGGTACCAGAAGAGATCTAGAATAGCAAAGGCAATCCTGGACAACAAAGCCAAGGCAGAGGACATCACAATCCCAAACTTGAAATGATATTACAAAGCTATATAATAAAAACAGCATGTTACTGGCAAACAAAACAAAACAGACCTGAGGATCAATGGAACAGATTAGAAGATGCAGAAAGACCTCCAGATATACTTAGCCACCTAATTTTTGACAACGGTGCCAAACACATTCACTGGAAGCAAGATAGACTCTTTTATAAATGGAGCTGGAAAAATGGGCTTTGCACATGTCTAAGATTAAAATTAGACCCATATCTTTCACCATACACTAAACTAAAATCAAAATGGATCAGAGATCTAAATATTAAAACAGAAACATTAAATATGCTGTAGGATAGAATAGGTAGAACTCTTGAAGATATGACATAAGCAAGACTTTATGAACAAAATGCTGATCACACAGGAACTA